TTGGAGGCCCCTGGCTTAGACTGTTCCCTGCAGTTTTCTTGGCAAGGTTTTCCAGAAGTGGTTTCCATTGCCTCTTCCTTAGGGATGAGAGAGATTGGACCAAGGTCATCCAGCTGGCTTCATGCCTAAGACAGGACCAGAATGCAGAGTTTCCTGGTTTCTAACTGGATGCCTTAACTCAGGGGTGTCAAACTGGATTTCATTGAGGGCCACATCAGGGTTCTGTTTAACCTTGGGGGGGGGGAGTTGCAGGGAGGGTGTGGCCAGGGGGGCGTGTCCTGCATGACATCACTCATGTCAGGGGCGCCTGTGGTGGCCCGTGCACTCTGCCAGCAAAAACAGGCTCCCGAGCTCCATTTTTGGCTGCTACGGCCTCCTACAACCCTCTGTCAGTGAAAATGGAGCTTCGGAGAGGCCACACATGGCCTTTGCGAGCTCTCTTTTTGGCTGGGATGGCTTCCTGAAACCCTTTGCCAGTGAAAACGGAGCTCAGGAGGGCCGCATACAGTACTGGCAAATGCACCGTGGGCCAGTTCTTCACTATTTCCAGGACACCCCCATGGGCCAGATCTAAGCACCCCACGGGCCGGATCTGGCTCCCCGCGCCTTGAGTTTGACAGCCCTGCCTTAACCACTACACCAAACTGCCTCTCCCAAATGTATGTAGGTAAAGGTAGTCCTCAACTTACAACCACAACTGGGACCAGAATTTCCATTGTTAAGCAAGGCAATTCTAAACTGAGTCAGGCCTGATTTTACAACCTATTTTGCCACGGTTGTTAAACGAATCACTGGGGTTCTTAAGGGACTCACGCAGTCGTTAAGCAAATCTGGCTTCCTCCATTGACTTTGCTTGTTGTGGAAGCCAGCTGGGAAGAATGCAAATGACAATCACACAACCCTAGGATGCTGCAACTGTCTTAAATAGATGCTGGTTGCCAGTCGCCTGAATTTTAAGCAAGCAGGATGCTGCAACAATCATAAGTACCCGTTGTAAGTCATCTTTTTTTCAATGCCATTATAACTTTGAATCAGGGGTGGGATTCTACAGGTTCGCACCTATTCGCTGGAACCGGTTGTTAACATTCTAAGCAGTTTGGAGAACCGGTTGTTAGAAGAAATTACTGGCCTAATCCTGTAAGGAAGGCAGAATCGGTTGTGAAAAAAATTGAATCCCACTCCTGCTTTGAATGTCACTGAAATGGATGGTTGTAAGCAGGGGTGGGATTCAAATTTTTTAACAACCGGTTCTGTGGGTGTGGCTTAGTTGGTGGGCATGGCTTGGTGGTCATGTGACTGGGTGGGTGTGGCCAACTCAATATCACTCACATCGAGGCACACATCTCCTCGCCTCGCCTCTCGTGACTGTGGGGATGCTGCAACAATCATAAGTGTGAAAAATGGTCATAAGTCACTTTTTTCAGTGCCACTGTAACTTTGAATGGTCACTCCACACAAGCAAAGTACCAGCAAAGGAGGGGGGAAAAAAACTCCAGAGAAGTTCCTGAGACAGGAAGTCCAGTCCCGCCAAGAATGTTATAAGTGTTAACGGAGAGGCAGTTTCTGTAAGCAACACCAGAATGTTTCCTTCCTGCCTTCCTTACAGGATTAGGCCAGTAATTTTTTCTAACAATCGGTTCTCCGAACTGCTTAGAATGTTAACAACTGGTTCTAGCGAATAGGTGCGAACCGGTAGAATCCCACTCCTGATTGTAAGTCAAGGAGTACCTCTATGTATGTTTTTGCAACAAAACTAAGGATGGGCCACAACCATCCTCTCTGCCTCAGAACCTTTCCTAAATAAATATGTGCCAATGTACATACTTCATTCAAGACTTAAGACTTGAACAAATCTCTAACCTTGAGGTCCTGAGCCTGATGGTGACAGAAATTAAAATTTCTGTAAGATTTAATTTGTCGCGAAAAATACAGTATGTTAGAAACGTAGGGCTTGTTGCAACTACAGTGAAGAAGGAAAGAGAAAGCACCAATGTATATAGAAAAGTTATCGAATAATACAATTTGGTGGAGGGCATGTGGATACCGTTAACACTGTAGGCTGGAGAAATGAAGAAGTCGGGATTCAAATAAAAGGCAGGTCAAATCTCACACACTCTTTGGAATGGAATGGCTTGTCTCCAGTGGGTACTCCAACACTGTAGATTTTTAAGAAGAGGCCGGACAACCATTTGTCTGAAATGGTATAGAGTTTCCTGCTTGAGCAGTGGGGCTGGACTAGAAGACCTCCAGGGCCCCCTCCAACTCTGTTATTCGGTTCTGTTCTAAATGTCTACACTATGGAGATTCTCAGTCATCCAGGCCATGGTTGTCCCAAAGGTGCTTTTTTTTTTTTTTTTTTCCAAAAGGCAACTGGACTTTCTTTATTTTTTTTTTCCTTGAAGACATTTTGCTTCTCATCCGAGTTCTAGAGAAGCTTCTTGGATGAAAGGCGAAACGTCTTCAAAGAATAACAAGCAAGTCCAGTTGCCTCTTGAAAAAGCACCTTTGGGTCTGTTCTGTTCTGTTTTCCTTTCCAACACTTGCCGGGGTAAGATTTAGTCCTTGCAGAGAAGCTCTCACAAACTTTGTCCTCCTGAATTCCCCTCCTCTCCTCGCTTCTTTCCCTCTCCCCCCCATCCATCTATCTCCATTCAGGTTGCTGGATTAGTGAAAAGGAAGCCTGTGATTCTCCAGCTTGTGAGTTTCGCTCTTTGGCTGCCATCACCTTGTCCTGTAGGTGCCACTCTGATCTGTGTAACGCTAACATCAGCTACGCCGAGCCTGGAAAGAAACCTGGTAAGAAGTCGGGGGGGGGGGGGGGCAGAGGTCAGGGAGGAAATGCTGAGTGGGACAGGGGGAGAGAAAGATGGGGGAGGATTTATGGGTCGCAGGTGGAAGACACAGCAAAATAAATAAGGTGGCAGGGAAATTAAGTATATAAGAATCCTGGTGCTCACCCTCCATCTCTGCCCCTACTATTATGCAGATGGTCTTTCACAGTTCTTTCTCCTTCTTCCTGTTTTTAATCTTCTCCTGCAAATCTTGAGACTCTTTGGGGTTTTTTTTCCCCCCTTCCTGCAAGCTCACCAAGAGATGCAGAGCTGGGTGTGAGTGGATAGATGGTGGGAGGGAGGAGAGTTGCCTTTGTTTGAGAAGAGCACTTGACTCAGGAGAGACCTTGAGGATGCCTAGAGAAAGCCCACGCCAGGTCTCTTGAGTCAGGCTGATAACAGCCTACTAAAAGAAGGCAAGCTGCCTGGCTGCTCTCAGGTGGAAAGGAGGATTGCTGCTCCCAAACAAAATTTTCTCCCCTTAAAGAAATGTGCTAAGCCAATTTGGGACTTCCAGTTTGGCTGACATGGAAGAGAATGGTATGCATTTGACTTCCTGGGTTTTCCAGTTCTGGAAGTAGAGTGGTATCTACTGGTAGGCAAGCTAGGATCAAATGTTGTTGTTCTGAATTTCTCCGGTTGTAAATCACCATAGTCCACTTTACATATACAATAATAAGAGGCAGGTTCGTTCTAATTTCTTAAACTTACAGCTAAAAATGTAAAGGGTGGAAAATGACCGAGTTTTGACTTCAAGAGAGCGACAGCTTGAATGTTGACTTAAGTTTAAAAAGGAGGATACAAATAGGTTAACTGAATTAGTTTAAAAGCGTGTGGATTTGCTGACCAGTATATGTTCTCATTTTCCCTATCTTCAACTAGTCCTTGCCTTATGATCAAAATTGAGCTCAAAATTTATGTTGCTAAGAGAGATAGTTGTTAAGTGAATTTTGCCCATTTACAAACTTTTCTTGACATAGTTGTTAAATGTCTCGCTACAGTTGTTAAGTTAGTTTAAATGAATCTGGCTTCCTCATTGATTTTGGTTGTCAGAAAGTCACAAAAGGTGATCACATGACCCTGGGACACTGCCACCGTCATAAATATGAGTCAGTTGCCAAGCATCTGAATTTTGATCATGGGATCATGCAATGGCTAAGTATGAAAAACAGTCATAAGGCACTTTTTCCAGTGCCGTTGTAACTTTGAATGGTCACTAAATGAACTGTTGTAAGTCGAGGACTACCTGTATAAAATGCAAAGTCCAACTATGATTTTAGCAGCTGAGGCGGAAAAGTTACCTTCCTCTCTTGTGGCAACAAATATAATAGTATATGCCTGAATTTCATCCTAAAGGCAGGCACTCCTCTCTGCTTCATATCCGTTTCCTAATGGGATCCTTGGATTTAACCCTTGCTTTGTTCCATCTCTAGATCATTCTCTTGGGAATATTCAAATGTAGCGTGCTTTTCAGATTAAGCTTTTGTCCGACTGCAATTTCCCAAAGGGTCCAGATAATAATCCAATCACTTTGCTAAAAGTAATCAGTTTGGTGAAGCAATAGAGAGGATGGAAAGAAATGGTCGTTTTTCCATTGTGAAGCTAGAAGGTTTGGATATATTTGTTTCCTCTTTGAAGGATACACAGGGCATGACGATACCTTCTCTTGAAGTACAGAAGCCCTACCAACAAAACGGTTCATTTGCAAAACTCCTGTTTATAGAATGGTAGGCCCTTTCGAGGCAAGAAAGAGGGGGCACTATGAACAGGAGTAAATCCTCCTATTTGCTGCTTTTTGTGGGTTATGACTGGGAATTTATTTATTTTTATTTATTTATTTATTTGATTTGCCAATTGTTTACAAGATAATAAGTATAAATGTATACATAGTTGTGAATACATGAAATGGGTACATATAAGAAAAATAATTCTGGAAGTTGTAGTCCCTACACTTCTAGAGGACATCAGATTGGATACCACTACGTTTAGGCTTTTCGTGTAGGATGACACTGAAGGGGGTTACATTTCATAGGAGTTGATTGGGAAGTCTGTATATTAAAAAAGATGACTATCGTGATCTGGCAACCGAAGAATTCTATTCTGTAACTTCTCAAAGCCAACTTATCAGGGATTCTATGACATTCCCCAGATTTCCCTCCTTTCTATCTTGTCTTGTGAATTACAGAACCTTCCTTTATTCGGGGTAATATTTCTTGCCGTTTTTAATTTGACACAGAACTGAAAGATAGAGGGAGCCTAGCAAAGAAAGAAAGGGAAGTAGCCCCTCCTCATCACTTGAAGAATATTTATTTATTTTATTTATTTATTTATTTGATTTGCCAATTGTTTACAAGATAATAAGTATAAATGTATACATAGTTGTGAATACATGAAATGGTTACATATAAGAAAAATAAAAGAATAGGAGAAACAATAGGACAGGGACGGTAGGCACGTTGGTGCGCTTATGCACGCCCCCTACAGACCTCTTAGGAAAGGGGTGAGGTCAATAGTAGACAGTCTAAGGTTAAAGTTTTTGGGTTAAAGTTTAAGGTTAAAGCTTTTCTTCTTATCCCCTCTCTCTCCCCCAATCTCCAACAGCCCCGTGCTTTCGAAACTGCTTGTCTGCTGCTGATACCAATCTCCAACCATCTTTGACATTCCCCCCACCCTGATATTAAAATTAGCCCCGGATTCCCAAAAATGATTAAGTTAGAACAACGATTAAAATGAAGTCTCAGCTTGGACTTTCTTCTCCTTATTCCAACCTTCTTTAGGGCTTTGCATCAAATCCTACAAGAAAAGAAATATTAATCTCTCACTTCAGCATTGTGCAGCCTAAGCATTGTCTGTCATTGGCTTTTTCACTTTCTTAGTGGCTTGGGCCCATTTCAAGGGGAAAAAAAAGAGAGAACTACATTCTGTAATCAAAAGTCCTTATAATTTCCACTTCCCCTTTTACAAAAATATACTCCCCGCTCTGCTGTTTCACCATCTCTCCCGTGCTTACACACAAACACACACTCCCATATGCACAGCCTTCTGTAGTGGTTATGCTGCCATATTGCGACCTTCAAAACTTCAAAACCTATGGGGAGGACATAGGAATGTTGGCTGAGGAGATGAGGAGGAACGGGCTGTTTCTTAGAGGGAGGGAAACGTCCTTTCCCCTGCTTTAATTTTAATTAAAACTTCAGAGGAAAGGGCTAGGAGAGGATGGCAAGAAGCCGACACCTGACAATGGGCAGAGATGCTGGAGATGGACGTGCGGAGGCCCATAGGCACCTGGAGATGTGGAGGAGGGCCCGAGACTTTGAGCCAAGATGCTGAACAATATATACACAGCTATTACAGGGCAGATAGTTGCCAGGGATTGCTCTGCCTTCTCTGAAACGTGAAATGTTCTCCTCCCTTTTCTCCCCCCTTATAAGATGCTCTCCTGTTTTATCTCTGCAGGGGACTCCTTGCCTAGTCACGTCAGGATTACCTGGATCAGCGTAACCTGCCTACTGATCTTGCTGTGTTTCTTGGCATTTCTAGGTAGGGCAATTTCAAGGAAAGCGTTTTTTTTTTAAAAAAGAGTTGGCTGCACAACAGCCAGCCTGGCTTTGAGATAGGGGAAGTGAAGAAAAGCTCCCCGACTGCCTGAGACACCCCTGAGAAACACGCTAGCAACATGTTCAGATGAAGTATTTCCATGAGATGGAAAAGATATAAATACTGAGCAGATCCATCGGGTGAAAATTTGGGGGACACACTAGAAAAACCAAAGAACCCACTTCTGAGTGCCTCTCCTCTCCTCCTCGCCACTTTTAACAGGTAGTCCTCGCCTTACGACCACAGTTCAGCCCGAAATTTAGGCTGCTAAGAATTTTGCCCCATTTTACAACATTTCTCGTCACCGTTAGTAACCCAGTTGTTAAGTGAGTCTGGCTACCCCATTGACTTTGGTGGTCAGGAGGTTGCAAAAGGGGATCACATCATCCCAGGGTGCACCCCTCATGAATGCCAAGCCCCTGAATTTTGATCGTGTGACCATGGGGTAAGTGTGAAAAACTTTTAAAAGTGACTGTAAGCCACTTTTACCAGTGATGCTGTCACTTCGAACGGTCACTAAATGAACTTGTAAGTCGAGGATTACCTGTATAAAGATTCAGAAAAGAGATTCTACTGGCCTTGCCCAGTGGTGGGATTCAAATTTTTTTTTACTACCGGTTCTGTGGGCGTGGCTTGGTGGGCGTGGCAGGGGAAAGGATACTGTAAAATCTCCAGTCAAAGGTGGGGTTTGCCGGTTCTACTCAAAATTTCTGCTTACCGGTTCTCCAGAACGGGTCAGAACCTGCTGAATACCAACCTCTGGCCTTGTCCTTGCTTTTCTGGTAAGTGATGAAGTATAGTAGCTCTAAAGCAAGAGTGTGAAACTCAATTTCATTGAGGGCCACATCAGGATTGTGTTTGACTTTAGGGGGCTGGGGTAGGCGTGGCCAGGGAGGGTGCGGCCAGCTCGACATCACTCGTGTCAGGGGCACCTGTGCTGGCCCGAGTGCTCTATCACCCAAAATGGGCTCCTGTGCTTTGTTTCTGGCTGTGATGGCAACCCTCTGCCTGCAAAAACAGAGCTCGGGAGGGCCCGTTTTCACTGGCAGAGGCACCACGGGCTGGTCCTTTGCTGTTTCCAGAGCAGCCCCACGGCCCAGATCTAAGCACCCTGTGGTCCGGATGCAGCCCCGGTCCTTGAGTTTGACCCTCCTGCTCTAAAGTAAAAAAGCAGGCCAATGAGCAAGGTGGCAGTGATAAGAAAGGTAGCCAACAATGCAGAGAATCTTACTCAAGGATCCACCATAATCTAGCACCCAAGATATTTCCACAAAACTGCAACCTTGTTTTCAGGCTGTCCTTATACCAGGACCTCATCATTATATCTTACATTATCCTGAGTATATACACATGATTGTTTGCAAGAAAATGTACTTTTAAAAGCAGAACGCAGGACTACATGGAAGCCATAGTTTTGTGCCTACAGACAGTCCTTGAATTATGACCACACATGAGCCCAACATTTATGTTGCTAAATGAAGCATTTGTTAAGTGAGTTTTGCCCTATTTTTTTACGATTTTTCATGCCCCAGTTGTTAAGTGAATCAGCGCATTTGTTAAGTTACTAGCATGATCGTTAAGTGAATCTGGATTCCCCATGGACTTTGCTTATCCGAAGGTTGCAAAACCTGATCACGTGACCCCAGGACACCAAAAACCATCATATAAATATGAACCAGTTGCTAAGCATCTGAATTTTGATCAGGTTGACCATAGGGGACACTGCAAAGGTCGTAACTGTGAAAAATGTTCATAAGTCACTTTTTCAGGGACGCTGTAACTTTGAACAGTCACTAAATGAAAGTCGAGGACTACCTGTAGAGTATAAAATTGCATTTAGTCGTGGAGCTCCTGTTGGGCATGCAATAGGTCCCTGATTCAAGTTTCAGCAAGTTTTTCAAGTAGAGTTGAAAAAACCCTGATGGAAATGTCAGAAAACTTGCCAATCGGTGCTGACACCACTGAGCTAAATGGACCAGTGATCCGATTCAATATAAAACAGGGCTATGAAAAACTGGGCTGCAAAAATCTGGATGACCGCTAGCAAACTGAGTTAAGCTGCTCAATGGGTTTTTCTAGTTGAAATTTCATATAAGTGCAAAGTAAGGGAGCTTCTTATATGCTCAGATGGTCAGATGATACAGCTTCTCTGCCCTGTACTTTTACTTTTTCCTTAAATAGCAAAAAATTTTTCTCTCAAATAGATTACTATTTGCCTAATTTAGGGAGGATATAATATTGGTAAAAAAATATGGAGTATGTCATTGAGAAGCAAATCTCTTTATGTGACCTTTTAGTTCTAAGGCATCGGAAAGTTCATGCAGTGCTACTAAGACCAAAAGAAACTGGAGAACTCAACAAGGTAACGATAGGCTCAGAACTAAAGGATGAGAGAAAATTGCCCAGGCTAGAGGTTCCGGATCTCCAATTCATTCAGGTATGATTCAATCTCGGGAGGAACCAAGCCACTGGGAGTCGCCAGCACTAGGCCTACCAAATCCCCTGCAAAAAAAAACAGATGACCACTCTATGGCAAGCATTGGAATTTCTGTATCTCTCTACTGTCATCTAGAGGTCACCTGGAACCCTGCAGGCCAGATGTGGGAGCCCTACCATAATTTGCTTTTTTCTCTTCTTCTCTCAATCTTAATGGGGATGCCAAGATAACAGTTGTTGGGGTGGTCAGAGCAGTGGTGGGATTCAATTTTTTTTTTACTACCGGTTCTGTGGGCGTGGCTTGGTGGGCATGATGTGGCTTGGTGGGCGTGGCTTGGTAGGCGTGGCAGGGGAAGGATACTGTAAAATCCCCATTCCCTCCCCATTCCTGGGGGGAGGATACTACAAAATCCCCATTCCCTCTCCATCCCACTAACCTGCTTTCCAGCTCCGTTGTCCTGTGCTGGGTCACAAAAGAAGACCCAGCCGATCAGCTGGGACTCGGGAGGCAGAGAATAGATGGGGGCGGGGCCAGTCAGAGGTGGTATTTGCCGGTTCTCCAAACTACTCAAAATTTCCACTATTGGTTCTCCAGAACTGGTCAGAACCTGCTGAATAGCACCTCTGGGTCAGAGGTTTCCTTACATGTCTGCAATTCTAAAATAAGGAAGTTCCTCATTTTGGCAACCTGATGATCCTAAAGAAGTAATCAGGGACCAAATTATACAGCCGTAAAAACATGTGCTACTGACCAGAGTGAGATGCTTGCCAGTACAGGAAGTCCTTGACTTATGACCACAATTGAGCCCAATATTTCTGTTGCTAAGTGAGAATTGTTAAGTGAGTTTTGCCCTATTTTTCAACCTTCTTAAACAGTTATTAAGTGAATCACTGCAGTTGTTAAATTAGTAACACGGTTGTTAAATGAATGTGGCCTCTCCATTGACTTTGCTTGTCAGAAGGTCGCAAAAGGGGACCTCATGACCCCCCAGAACACTGCAGAATACTGCAACCATCATAAATACGAGTCAGTTGCCAAGCATCTGAATTTTGATCACATCATTGCATTGATGCTGCAATGGCTGCAAATGCGAAAAACTGGACATAAGAAATGGACATAAGTCACTTTTTTCAGCGCTGTTGTAACTTTGAGCAGTCACTAAATGAACTGTTGTATGTCAAGAGCTACCTGTATCAGATGAAGGCTACAGTGGTGGGATTCAACTTTTCTTACCACCAGTTCTGTGGGCATGGCTTGGTGGCTGTGCTTTGTGTGCGCGCAGAGGGTTTGATACTGACCTTCTCCTGCAAACCTGCACTCTCCATGTGTCTTCAACAGCTGACGTCTGGCAATCAGCTGTGCCGCGCGAAGCAGTTAAGCTTCAAAACCAGGAAATAAAGGTCATATATAGGCAGGTGGGAGGGCCCAACAGCTGATCATCAGAGCGAACCTTCGCTCACAGGTGATCCTCAGAGCTACCGGTAGAATACCACCACTGGAAAGCTAGCTTTACCTATAACAGGTGCGTCTGACCTTGGCAACTTTAAAAGTTGTGGACTTCAACTCCCAGAATTCCCCAGCCAGCAGACGGAACCTCCTAAGACAGGGGTGGGCAACTATGGCCCCTTTATGAATTATGGACTTCAACTCCCAGAATTCCTGAGCAAGCCATGCTAGCTCAGGAATTTGGGAGTTGAAGTCCACAAGTCATAAAGGGGCCATAGTTGCCCACCTCTGTCCTAAGGGATAGAAAATAAGATCAATGTGGAAAGAGTTTGTACTTTCTTGGTACTATTGAAAAACAACCATCTCCTACCTCAAGCATTGATAGGAATTTAATCATTTTCCCTAATTCTTTTTGGAATAGCTTCTCCACGAAGGGCAGCTTTCTAAACTGTGGCAAGGAACCTTCGGCCAGCAACCTGTGGCCATCAAGGTCTTTCCTCCTTTGTGCCACCAACAATTTGCATCTGAGTGGGCCGTCTACAGCCTCCCATTGATGAACCACGAAAACGTGGCACGACTTGTGACTGCTGGATATGGAGGACCAAGTGAAGAACACTGTGGTCTCCTGGTACTGCCACTGTACCCATTGGTAAGAGCCATGGGCAAGAATGGCTGAAAGTGATTGCGGTTAGGTGTTACAAAATAAAAGGGATCTTGTATGTGTCTATGGGCAGGGAGCTAGTTTGGATAAGGCACCAGGTTAGAAGGCAGGAGACTGGGAGTTCTAGTCCCGTCTTAGCCCTGAAAGTCAGCTGGGTGATTTTGGGCCAATCACTCTTTCAACTCACTTCACTCAACTCACTTCACAGGATTGTTGTTGTGAGGAAAATAGGAGGGTGCCTTGGATATGTTCACCACCTTGAATAATTCGTAAAAACAATAAAGGCAGTATATAAATAAATAAAAATTATACACGACAACTTTCACCAGTGTATACCAAGGTACATGGGTATGGTCATTAAAATCACAGGAATAGATGTTTAATTTATTTATTTTTGTCATGGATGATATAGGGGTGGAATTTCTAGGAGTAAATTTGATTTTTTTGGCTTCTCAGATTACTGGCTTTTTAAAATTTTTATAAAGAGTACATTCTACATCTTAAGGTTTTGCTGAAGTATTAGAAAATAGGATATGTATTCAACTCTGTTTCCAAATTAAAATGTCATATAGTAGCATGGGATGATGGGGATGAAAAGGAATTGTTAATTGCTAAACTAACTACAGTAGGCAGCAGTATAATACAGGTAGTCCTCAACCTACGACCACAATTGAGTCCAGAATTTATGCTGCTAAGCCATAAATTTGTTAAGTGAGTTTTGCCCCATCTTATGACTTTTCTTGCCACATTTGTTAAGTGAATCACTGCAGTTGTTAAATGAATACCACGGTTTTTAAAGTGAATCTGGCTTCCCCATTGACTTTGCTTGTCAGAAGATTGCAAAAGGTGATCATATGTGAGCAATAGCAATTAGACTTATATACCGCTTCACAGCCCTCTGTAAGCGGTTTACAAAGTCAGCATATTGTCCCCAGCAATCTAGGTCCTCATTTTACCCATCTTAGAAGGATGGAAGGCTGAGTCAACCTTGAGCTGGTGAGACTCGAACTGCCAAACTGCTGGCAGCTGGCAGTCAGCAGAAGTAGCCTGCAGTACTGCAGTCTAACCACTGTGCCACTGCGGATTAATGATGCTGGAACACTGCAACCGTCATAACTATGAAGCAGTTATCAAGCATCCAAATGTAAATCTCGTGACCATGGGGATGATGCCATGGTCCTGAACGTGAAAAATGGCCAGAAGTCACTTTTTCAGTGCCGTTGTAACTTTGAATGGACACTAAATGAACTGCTGTAAGTTGAGGACTACTTGTATCCCACTAGTACATTTAATAAGCAAATAAGATATGAGAATTTGAGCCATCACCTCATTGCCCAATCAGAAGCAGATGCCATGGTTTGCAGTTCCTCTCCCTACAATCCAGTAAGTTGTCTTCCATTCCCATTCCTTCTTCAAAGCCTTAATTTGAATATAAATAAATAATTTAAAAGCCATTTTTTAAAAATGTTATTCTTAACTTTGGATGAAGAGCCAGACAAACCTATAATCTATAATATTGATATTCACAACTGCAGTTAATATTGATTTAATTTTTATCCTCAATACTTTAAGCTTTCTAGAATATAGGACAGGTAGTCCTTGATTTACGACCACAGTTGAGCCCAAAATTTCAGTTGCTAAGTGAGACATTTGTTAAGTGAATTTTGCCCCATTTTGCGACCTTTCTTGACACAGTTGTTAAGTGAATCACTGCAGTTGTTAAGTTAGTAACACAGTTGTTAAAGTGTATTTGGTTTCCCCGTGGACTTTGTTTGGTTGCAAAAAGTGATCATATGACCCTGGGACACTGCAACTGTCATAAATGCGAGTTGCCAAGCGTCCAAATTTTGATCACATGACCACGGGGGAACTTGCAATGGTTGTAAGTGTGAAAAATGGTCATAAGACACTTTTTCCAATGCTATTGCAATTTTGAATAGTCACTAAACAAACTGTCGTAAGTCAAGGATTACCTGTACGTTTACACATTTTAATCATAGTACATAAATATTGCTGCACTGAAGTCTGTGCAGTGAAATAATACAACCTATCAAGATTTATAACGATTACAATAAAACAAAAGGAAGGGGGGGGAACTATACCTGGGCATCGGAGGAGCCTATTATCCCAAATTATTCTGTCAGTTTGCTTAATCCAGACTCATCCTTCACTGTAGTCACGAAAAGATGAACACTGATGTCAACCATCTTGTGTTTGGGCCTAAACTGAACCAGTTGCCTTTTCTTCAAAGGGATCCCTACGGAACTTCCTCAGCCATCACATTTGTTCCTGGGATATCAGCATCCGGCTCGGATCATCCCTTGCCGGGGGCCTTGCTTTCTTACATGAGGAGAAACGGAAGGAAGGTAAGACAGCCAGACTATTCAGCAGGAAGCCACAGGGTGATTTTTGTCCTGCAGACCTCCAGATGGACCACTTGTGACCAAAGATGGTCACATTCAGCAGGTTCTGACCAGTTCTGGAGCGGAAATTTTGAGTATTTCGGAGAACCGGCAAATACTATCTCTGACTGGCCCCGCCCCCCATCTATTCTCTGCCTCCCGAGTCCCAGCTGATTGGCTGGGTCTTCTTTGGTTGCCCTGCAGAGGAGAACAGAGCTGCAAAGCAGGTTAGTGGGGTGGGGGAGGGAATGGGGATTTTGCAGTAACCTTCCCCCAGGAGTAGGGTGGAAATAGGGATTTTACAGTATCCTTCCCCTGTCACGCCCACCAAGCCACGCCCACAGAACTGGTAGTAAAAAAATTTGAAGCACCATCAGGGAGGGGATTGAGCCAGTTGGGTACCAGAGCTGTGGTGGTGCAATAGTTAGAATGCTGTGTTGCAGGCTAATTCTGCTGACTGCCAAGGGTTCAATCCTCACTGGTTCAAGGTTGACTCAGCCTTCCATCCTTCCGAGGCGGGTAAAATGAGGACTCAGATGATTGGGAACAATATGCTGACTTTGTAAACTGCTTAGAGAGGGCTGTGAAGCGGTATATAAGTCTATTGCTATTGCTATCCACAGGTAGTCTTCGATTTACAACAATTCATTTGGTGACTGTCCGAAGTCACCAAGGTATTGCAAAAAGTAACTTATGACTGTTTTTCACGCTTATTATGACTGTTGCAGCGTCCCCATGGTCACGTGATCAAAATTCAGGCGCTTGGCAATTGACTCATATTTATGACGGTTGCAGTGTCCCAGGGTTATGTGATCAAATTTTACCGCCTTCCGACAAGCAAAGTCAATGGGGAAACCAAATTCACTTAACAACCACGTTACTAACTTAACAACTGCAGTAATTCATTTGGCAACCATGGCAAGAAAAGTCATAAAATGGAGCAAAACTCACTGAACAGCTATCTCACTTGGCAACACAAATTTTGGGCTCAATTATGGTCGTAAGTGGAGGACAATCTGTATTTATAAAACCCTCAATCCAATATGTAAATGTTATATCGGATTATATAGTGAAAGTGGGAATAGCGACTGCAGGGAAGAGCTCTTGTTTATGTTATATTATCTCTACCCACTCAGGGAGGGGGTGGGTTCATCATGGGAGTAGGATCAAATAAGAAAACAGCAATTATCAGAAAGTAATGTTGGAATTCAGCATTGATATCCAGGGGATCTGGCTTGATCCCAAAGAGCATCCAATTCTCACAGGCTAAATTACTAGCCAACATTACTCAGAGAGTAATACCAAGAAAAAACCTCCTCCTTTTAACATTGGGCTGGTGAGAAAGGTGGACAGCAAAGCAGCACCGAACTCAGCATATGCTCAGACACCTTTTTATTCCTTAATTCTAAGAACTGTGTTCCCCCGCTATCACTCCCAAAACATCATTTAGCACCTGGCTTCACATTCTTCTAAAAAAAAGAGAGAGAGTTTGCAATTATTGTATCAAAAACTTTAGCAAAGGGTTCTTCTCTGCCTGGTTGATGCCTGGTTGCATGGCCATGATAGGTGTGGCCTAGTCAGCCTCCTGCACCGCAGCAGGGAGGGAGTGTTTTCGCCCTCTCCGGGCTCCGGGAGGGCGAAAACAGCCTGCCCAGGCTCTGGAGGCTCTCTGGAAGCCAGAAACGGGCCCATTTCCGGCCTTCCTGAACTTCCTGGAGGCCTGTTTTTGACCTCCCCCAGCCTCCACGCAGGCCCTGCACCTACCTGCATCCAAAATGTGCCACATGGGGACTCCGGGGAGGGGAGGGGAGGGATCAGCCAGGAGTGGGATTTGGGGGTTCTCCAAACTGCACAGAATCTTAGCTAGGGGCTCTCCCAAACCCCTGCGAACCCCCAGCAGCCCACCCCTAATTGTATTTATGGAAAACATGTATATACAAATTCCATTATTTATTTATTTTAAAAAAAATCAGAGTGGGGTATATATATAATGATGTTCAGTGCATGCTACAGTTCTGCAATCTCTCCGGACACTATGCTGAGAATGTGGGTAAAATATATCTGCTTCTAAGGCAAGCAGTGAAACCAGCCTTCTAAATGTATTATTACTTTTCCTGTAAGAAAAGGGAGAGTAGCTAGAATCAGGGAAAAAGTGGAGATAGTAAATCCTTTTTAGGATCACTTTGGGAGAATGCATGTTAAAATGTTCCCGCTTCAGTTAAACCAGAGGGGGAAAAGGGTGGTAATCTCCCTGAGGCATTTGTTTTCTCGGTGCGAATGTTTGCACTCAAGATAATCCTACGCTGCCTTCGTCTGATTGTTTTGTTCCTTTATTTCTGAACCTCAAAAAGTAAAATATTAATTGAACGTTTGGCTTCAATCTTAAAAGAACTATCAATTTAATTTCTTCTCCCTGATCACACTCCCTAAGTGTGTGTACATTTTTATACAAAGAAACTTATGTAGAGATATGAATTCAAAGCAAGAATATTCCAGTACTCCTTTATTCACATTTTAAAAAAAACCCAATCTCTTTTGAAACTTCAGCATTTGTTAAGCACACATAGTCCTTGATTTACGACCACAATTGAGCCCAAAATTTCTGTTACTAAGTAAGACAATTGTTTAATGAGTTTTGCCCCATTTTACGATCTTTCTTGCCATTTTACGATCTTTCTTGTTAAGTGAATCACTGCAGATGTTAAATTAGTAACACGGTTGTTACGTGAATCTGGTTTCCCAATTGACTTTGCTCCTCAGGTCGCAAAAGGTGATCCCATGCCCCCGGGACACTGCAACCGTCATAAACGTGAGTCAACTGCCAAGCATCCGAATTTTGATCATGTGATCATCCTCAATGGTTGTAAGTGCGAAAAACAGTCATAAGTCACTTTTTTTCAGTGCCGTTGTAACTTTGAACGATCACTAAATGAACTATTGTAGGTTGAGGACTACCTGTACTGTAAGAGAGGGAGAGGCTTTGTCATAGGTGTTTCTCTGAATAACCACCTGCATTTCAAACATGCACAGAGCCTCCTCTAGTTTTAAATTTACCTGGGAAAAGTTTAAATGGGAAAATGTGTTTTCCTCTTGGATAAGAAGGGAGGAATCTAACAATCATCCAAGAGATGTGATTCAGAAGTCAGGGTGAAAGCAGAGATGGGATTCAAATTTTTTAACAACCGGTTATGTGGGCGTGACTTAGTTGATGGGCGTTGCTTGGTGGTCATGTGACTGGGTGGGTGTGGCCAATTCAACATCACTCACATCAAGGGGCGCTTCTCCTCGCCTGGCCACTCGTGACTGTGGGGATGCTGCAATTGTCATAACTGTGAAAAATGGTCATAAGTCACTTTTTTCAGTGCCACTGTAACTTTGAATGGTCACTAAATGAACTGTTGTAAGTCAAGGATTACCTGTAGAAAAATACAAAAAGCTTCTTTGCTTGCAAAAAGCTGCCCTAAATACCAATCATTAGATTAAAAATACCTGCAAGCCAGAGTTACCATGAGGAATTAAAATAGCTAAAATGCAATGATAACTATCATCAGTTAGTTACGGAGAGGCAGTTTCTGTAAGCAACAACACCAGAATGTTTCCTTCCTGCCTTCCTTACAGGATCGGGCCTGTAAAGTTGAAAAGAACAAAAGCAGATTTCTTCTAACAACCGGTTCTCTGAACTGCTTAGAAAGTTAACTACAGGTTCTAGAGAATAGGTGCGAACTGGTAGAATCCCACCCCTGGGTGAAAGCCATAGTCAAGTCTATTTGGTTCTCAGTGGGTTGGTTTTTTTTAATTGAGCTGCTCTACAGCCAGACATGAGTGAATTCCATTTTGGCATTGCATCCAGAGATCCTTCCTGAGTTTCTACTGCATTTTGTAGTGGCCAGTTCCATAAATAACATCAATATTTAAAATAAAATAATGCCAGAGCTAATATCGTCAGTGGTGAACTTGCCTGGTACATCAGTTTCAGTGACTGAGATGTAGTACCATGATTAGAAAGCAAAATATCTTTTTGATACTTTCTATTGAGCCTAGTTAAAATTTACCACTTTGGTAACATGCAGATGTTCTATCATTACCAGAGCAAACAATCAGAGTTAATGGGAACTGAGATTCAGTGATATTTATAGTGCCAAAGATCTGCCATGCTGGCTGTTATCTGACTGCCAGCAGCTCTCTAGGGTTCAAAGCAGAAAGAGAATATTCTGCCTCATGTCTTTTAACTGGAAATATCTGGGCTTGAACCTTATAGATGGAAAATATCTATTCTTCAGTTAACATATCTAGGCTCCTTTTAGCTCGGTTCGCTATGCCATAATCTGGTTTGTGAGATTTTTACTTACAAAGTGATACTAGGCAGTATGGATTTTAACCAAATTTTCCTTACCATGCAGTTTCTTCTCATGTTTCAATAAGCCACGTTTAAACAAACAATGGTGTGATGTGTGAATCCAGTCTTCCTTTCTCCACTCTTAACTGTGCTGTTCATGGTTTAATAAAGTCACATGTGGTTGAGATGACAATGTTGTTGAAACTTTTTATTATTTTTTCCATGATGTCAGGCCTGCATAAACCTGGGGTGGCCCATCGTGACCTCAGTAGCCAGAATGTGCTTGTCCGGGAAGACAGGACTTGTGCCATAACTGATTTTGGCTTTGCTATGACACTCCCTCTGCGACACGAGCAGTCAAGAAAAGGTCCTGCAGAAGCCATCGTGCACAAGGTACCATAGATCATCATCTTCTTCTTCATTTAATGACCCCATAATCCCTTGCGAGATGGAGTCTGGGCAACTGAATGGAGCTAAGAGTGTTTTAATGGCCGGATGCCCTGCCTGTCACCAATGCAGAGTTTTGTTCAGCAGATATACTCTCAAGTGTGCCCAGAGAGAGAAATATCTGCCTCTACCCAGGATCGAACTCACAGCTTCCTGATTGTGAGGCAAGAGCTCTATCTCTAGGCCACCACACCACTCCCCCAAGATACCATAGATGACATAGAAAATTCCAAAGAGATGCCTATTGTTAAAAAAAATCTGATCAATAATTCTTTTTAAATTCATTTGCTTACACTGAACGTCAAGCTCCAGGCATCTAATATCCAAACTCACACAATGACAACAGTCATCGTAACACAGTTCAGACAATAGTAACAACAAGAGATTACCCTATGATATTTATTCCCGTAGAGATGCAGGATCAGTATGTCCGATTCCAGCATGGTGTTTGAGATGTGACAGCATCCGGGTAGCACTTTAGACTTACATACCGCTTCACAGTGCTGATAGAAGGCTGAATCAACCTTGAACCAGTCAGGATCAAACTGCTGGCAGTTGGCAGAATTAGCCTGCAATACTGCATTCTAACCATGGCTCTCTTTCTCTCTGATATTGTACCGTTTTGAGATGGACCATATTCAATTTGGGCATAACCAGTTCTTGCTCCAAGCATTGGAATTATCCATAAACTGCCTGCATCTTTCATTGGCATTTTCTCTAGGCAGGAGCTCAGCGTTACGTAGCTCCCGAAATTTTGGACGAGAACCTGAATCTGCAGGATGTGGGCTCGGCACTGAGGCAAGCGGATGTCTATTCCCTGGCACTGGTGCTGTGGGAGATCCTGATGAGATGCTCTGAACTTTTCCCAGGTAAACTGTGGTGGTCTCCCATGGAAAGAATGAGACACAAACGTGTGTACTCGGGATGGAAGCCTAGAGCAAATCCCAGTGCTCCCTTTTATTGAGAATTTTGTACATAGTAAGCATTCACATTGTGGATTACAATAATTAGATATAGTACATAGAATTGTTTATACTTGTCTGAGCTGCTTAATTGTTTCTGGTGTTTGCTTTTAATTTCCTTGCTTTTAATTTCCTTGCTTTATCTCGGTGACCTTTAGGCAGACATGTATGTATAAGTTCTTAGACTAATCATTACCCAATACTCAAGTCAAAGTTTATTCCCACAGTAAACCATTATGGAATTCCACAATTCCCAGCCTGCATGGCCGAAGACCTTGGCTGAGAATTTACAAGAGTTGATGTCCAGTAGGTTTGCCTTTGCAATCATTTAATTGCCAAGGTCCCTTCCAAAGAATGCCGGTCCCACAATTGGCTGGCTGTAAGGAAAAGATAAACTGGAACCTAAAGCCATTGTGGTTTATGTAGAAGAGAAATCATGTCTAGATTTTAGAGAAGGGTAAATGTAAAGGGTAAAGGGTAAAGGTAAATGTGTGCTGCATAACAAAAGGAGGAAACCGCTATAATGAAAGTTTCAGTGCAAGCTGGGAGAAAGAGTGTAAACTATCTTTGCCCATATCACTTTATTCTTATTGTTGGTTATCTTGGATAGAAAAATGGTGTGTGTGTGTGTGTGTGTGCGTGCGCATGTGTGTTTGAATTTTCTATTACAGTAAAAACACATGGAGAAAATTTATCTATGTGGCACATCATCAGTAAAAAGAAGTCCTGTACAGATATATCTATGTAGAAAACAGAAATTAAATCCAACTTGAGAATTTTTCTGTATCATGGTAAAGTATATTCTTAATTTAGAAAGACCACGGAGGATTGCAGGAGTGTCCTTTGAAGTATAGAAAGGATGAGCCCCCTTTCCCCCTTATTCTTGGAAAGCTCAGAATGCCAAACTTTTCTGGATTGAACTAGCACTAAAGCAATTTAAAACAAGACTCTAAGTATGAAGCTGCATTTGAATCATTCCCCAGAGTTAAACTTCTTCTCTTACCTCTTGCCATACCATTGCATCATATTCTATCCCTTATTGGTATCATTATTATGATTATTATTACTCTGCTGCTTTGCACGTACATTGAGAGCTTGTGCATTGAAGACACATTCCTTGTATGTCTAATCACACTTGGCCAAATAAAGAATACTATTCTATTCTATTCTATTCTATTCTATTCTATTCTATTCTATTCTATTCCATTCCATTCCATTCCATTCCATTCCATTCCATTCCATTCCATTCTATTCTATTCTATTCTATTCTATTCTATTCTATTCTATTCTATTCTATTCTATTCTATTCTATTCTAACTAGACTAGAATAGAACTAGACTTTTCTATTCCCAATTCTAATTAATTCCATTATGCACACAGAAATAGACACACATAGTTTATATATGGTGCAAAATCATGGTTTGTTCAGCTACACTTTTTAGAATAAAGCATCATTTCTGGGTCCAAATATATACGGTGCTTTACAAAGAGTGAGGCTGGGCAGCATGATGTTTGAACCCAACCTTAGAGTCTTAAGAAACAAGGTCACAGGGAAAGATAGGCAGCGGAGAAAGGAAAATCCAGGGCCTTGTGCTGTTTCTGCTGTTCAGCTGAGCAATACAATTGGCAAAGAATGATTTAAATCTCCCGTGAATATCAGTTAAGCAGCAGAAAAACAGTTCTCCCTACAATCTTTTAGCTTAGTGTTTTTCAAACTTAAGGCTGGGGAATTCTGGGAGTTGTCATCCACACATCTTAAAGTTACCCAGGTTTGAAAAACATTGTTCAAATTTTGCTGCTCAGTTAAATACCTAGAAAATAGCAGAAAAAATAAGGCAGCAGGTCCAGAGTGGGTAATTTTGGGGCAGATGGGTGTGAGAGGCTGTGGGGAGGCTGGGAAAGAAAAAGATTGGAAAGCAGACCTAAACAATCAAGAAAGAGAAGGCAATTTAGTTGGCAGCTTATCTTGTAAATGGCAACTTACTGCAGATGGCAAGAAATAGGGGGAGGAAGCCTTGCAAACCCTTCAAAGAGACTCTGCCTGAATTTATGCAGACAACTGAGGGTGCAGAAATTCCTCTCATAGTTTCCCAGATTCTGTACTTACCAAAGGCTAACATTAAATATACAAGTAGTTGACTTACGACCTCAATTGAGCCCAAAGTTTTTGTGTTGCTAAGTGAAATGAATTTTGCCCCATTTTACGACCTTTGTTGCCACCGCTGTTAAGTGAATCATTGCTGTTAAGTTAGTGACATGGTTGTTAAGTGAATCTGGCTTCCCCCCATTGACTTTGATTATCAAAAGGTCACAAAAGGGGATCCCATGACCTCGGGACACTGCCACCGTCATCAGTGTGAATCGGTTGCCAAGCATTTGAATTTTGATCACGTGACCATGGGGATGCTACAACAGTTGTAAGTATGAAAAAAGGTCATGTCCCTTTTTTCAGTGTTGTCGTAATTTTGAATGGTCACTATAAATGAACTGTTGGAGTCAAGGACTACCTCTGACATCTTGGTAGCTCACTCATCTGAGTGGGTTTCAGAGGTGGGTATTCAGCAGGTTCTGAACCAGTTCTGGAGAACCGGGAGCAGAAATTTTGAGTAGTTCGGAGAACCGGCAAATACCACCTCTGACTGGAGATTTTACAGCATCCTTCCCCTGCCACGCCCACCAAGCCACGCCCACAGAACCGGTAGTAAAAAATAAATAAATGAATCCCACCACTGGTGGGTTTGACAATGGGGATACCTTGCAGATTAGACAGTCCTCACCTGTTTTGAAACTCAAGACTTACTCACTGGTTTCCAACTTTCTTTATGACTCATGGATATCATTTTACTATTTTCTGTTAATAACTGTTTCTTTCCGTCTTTGTAAGCCTGGGCTTGTATAATGCATAGTAGTATTCAATTACTTTATGTCTTCTGGTGGCTTCTTTTTCAATCTTCTTCAGTTTTTCCAAGCATTGGGTCTTCTTTAAAGGTCACAATACTTAATATGTATTGATTGTTGTTTTGGGGTTTATTCCCTCCCACTGTTAACTAGGTTTATAAGACTAATGATATCCAATTTTCTTAATTTGAAATGTATAGTTGGTTCTTTCTCCCCCCCAAAGGATAAGAATAGTTTTGATTTCAACCAGTGATTTTTTTTAAGAAATGAGAATGTACAAGCATCTGCTTACTTCTTCCAGGTCGTGAGCCCTTACCATAACCAGACGCTGAAATTACATCCGATAAGATTCAGTTTGAGAGCCAAATTGGCCTAAATAATTGTCATAGCATTTGGATTTACATATCGCTTCACAGTAGGTGTATAAATAAGGTGTAGGCTCCCTGAGTATTTGAGGGTTTTTTTTTTTTCCTTTCTTTTAGGATCAATTCAATTATTACTACTTCTAGTAAAAAAATGATTCATTTATTACAGGCTGTCAATAATCTTATACATAGCAGGCTGTCGCAATGGGATGTGAAGGAATTTCTCTTTGCTAATAAAGGACCTGGCACTGAAACGGAGTTTTTTAAATTTGTATTTGAATCCAGAACTCACCCCTCTGATTGTATCACAAGTGACACCCCTAACAAGTTTTGATTTCGCAAATCTAGCACAGTAAGGATAAGTGCATCTTCTTTATTGTTTCGAGGGCATGTGCCTTTTGATGCAGACATGATGGCAGTGGGCTCCAAAGCAAACCTCTTAGACTGACTGTCCAATGAGTGAGAGAACTCAGGCCTCCTGCCCCAACTGCTACCATTGAGTAGGGGCAGGAGAAGGGGGGGGGGTGTCCTAAACCCTCTGTTTATCTGCTATGGCTACAGTAGCAGGTCTGAGCCTGTAGCTATCTCCCCTCCCTTACCCCCCACTTCTCAGTCTCCCTTCCTGACTGAGGAGAGGTACAAAGGATTTTGGAGATGGCCTTGACGAAGGAATCCAAGGGCCACTTTGTAAGCATCAACTTACTTGGCCCAGATTGGGGATGCAGGCGGGAAGGAAAAAAAACTCAAGATAGTTGCACCTGGCTAATATAAAAGGGAAAAAGAGAATCTCCTTCGGGTTTTCAAGATTTGATTAGTATACCCTGTGATAATAATAATAATACAGTAGAGTTCCATTAGTTCACAGTGTCTGTTTCTTGACCGGGTCTTCCTGAAAAGAGCTGATAAGATGAGGCGACAGTGCTGGTGTAACCGATTGAGGCGACAGCTGGTTGTGGGGGCTGAAGAGCGGTTTGTCTTCCTTCCCTCCCTCCATGCTACTTGCCTGCTGCTGCTGCTATCAAGGCTCCCAGGCACCGTGTGTGTGTTTTGTTGTCATTGCAAGATTTAAGGCAAAAGGACAGGAGTGGGGAAGGCCCCTGTGCTGGCAGCCTCCAAGATGCAGTCACCCTTGCCTTCACTGGCGTTGGCATGCAAGTTTTAAAAAAAAAAATTAAGCCTATTTTTGAGGAGTCCTTGGTGCTCTCTGAGCTCAGTTTTCTTGCAGATGTTTCATTACGCAAACTAGGTAACTTCATGAGTGATGTTGCCTAGTTTGGGTAATGAAAACACCTGCAAGAAAACCAATCTCAGAGAGCATCAAAGACCCCCTCATTTCGATCCCGAGCCACGAATATTCTCGATAAGCCTATTTTTGTCGTACCCTGTTGTTCTGATCAGTAAAGAGAAACTGATCCATAGTCCTGCGTTTCTTCACAAATGCGGCCAATCCATAACGGGCGTGGTGGGCAAAGAGCTTTTTCAACCTGCTTTTCTTCCCTTCCCACCCATCTCCATAGCTCCCTTTGAGGAGACCTGATTTCTGTCCTTTATCATGGTCTCAACCAGTTGCGCTAATAACCGAGGCTGAAGTCATGAATGGCCCCAACCCTGGCTTGTTTGAGGCACCACACTGTAGCTTGGTCTGATTTCGGGTAGCGGCAAATAGTTATTCCTGTTCTGTTGCAGAAGGATGGATTTCTCCTACCTTGGCTAGCCAGCTCTGCCAAGATATAAAGAAGGAAGGGTGGGGTATGCTGCCATCTGGTGGCCATTTAGGAGCTCATCCCGCCCTTGATCAACAACAAATGCCAGACATGTTCAGCTTGAAAGGGACAAAGCTGAACTGTAGACTTCCGGGGTGGGGTTATATGATCTTGGTCTTATTGAACTCAGCCTCATTCCACTTCCTCTTCCCCCTTCTCTTCTTCAGACTTTGTGTGACCTTTCAAACCCCTGGAGACAAGAGGCTTCTGTTGCTCTGAGACATCATTTCCAGGAGTACCGTGACTCATCTCTGTACAATGAGATGGAGTCATGGATGGAGCAGCATGAGCAAAAGGGCCCCAGCCTCTCTGGGCACCAGCCAGACCCCTAGTCTCCTAGCAAGATCCATTGCTCAAGAGAAAAGATTGTTGAAGGAGGAAAAAATGTGCCATTTTCCAAGTCTAAGTTGAAGCTTCTATCCAGGGAGTAAACAGTGTCCTCCATGCAACACCCTTTTTCTTAAGAGTATTAGCTGGATTGGAGTATAGGTAGCCCTTGACTTACGACCACAGTTGAGCCCAAGGTTTCTGTTGCTAAATGAAACATTTGTTAAGTGAGTTTTGCCTCATTTTTACGACTTTTCTTGGCACCATTGTTAAGTGAATCACTGCAGTTCCTAAGTGAGTAACGCAGTTATGCAGTGAGTAATGCAGTTATGCAGTTCCTAAGTGAGTAATGCAGTTGGCACCATTGTTAAATGAATCACTGCAGTTCCTAAGTGAGTAATGCAGTTAAGTTAATCTATCTTCTCCATGGACTTGGCTTTTCAGAAAGTCGCAAAAGGGGATCGCATGGTCCCAGGACACTGCAAAACCGTCATAAATGGGAGCCAGTTGCCAAGCGTCTGAATTTTGATCACATGACCACGGGAGGGGGGGCAAATCTGCAATGCTTGAAAGTGTGAAAAATGGCCATCGGTCATTTTCCCCCCGGGTGCCGTTGTAACTTTGAACGGTCACTAAATTAACTGTTGTAAGTTGAGAACGACTTGTACGCCTTGGCTGAGCATGCATTACTGAGAGGCCACTAACGTTTAATAGCAGTACACGTCCGCAATATGAAAGTTTTTATCCCTCTAGAGCAGTGTTTCTCCTTGTTAACTTTAAGATATGTGGACTTTAGCTCCCAGAATTTCCCAGTCAGCATACTGGAAGTTTAAATCCACAAGTCTTAAAGTTGACAAGGTTGAAAAAGGTTGCTTTGCTCTGCAAGTAAGACCGTGGAAGTGCACATTTTTTGACTAAAGGCAACCTTTTCCCCCAGGAAAAAATGGGAGGGGCACCCCCCCCCCCCCCCCCAAAAAAAATATATATGATAGGATGAAAATAAGAAGCAACACACTAAAGATCGCTTTTTGTATAGGAACTCCTATGAATCACAATCTCTTGATAATTTCCAGTACCAACAACTGTAAATGGATAGCTGGTCTCTGTGTGAAGGTCTTTCCTTTTGTGAATCAATATCGGTACACCGGGTATCAATGACCACTAAATAGCAGTGCAACCTGCTGAGTCTTCTTTCTTCGTCGTCCTCAACTTACAACCATTTGTTTAGTGGCCATTCAAAGTTACAAGGGCATTAAAAAAAGTGACATGTCCATTTTTCACACTTATCCCCAGTCACGTGATCAAAATTCAGACGCTTGGCAACTGGTTGGAAACCAGAGTCACTTAACAACCGTGGTATTAATTTAACAACTGCAGTGACTTATTTAACCATAGCAAGAAAGGTCATAAAATGGAGCAAAATTCATAATTGCCTTGCTTAACAACAGAAATCTTGGGCTCAGTCGTGGCCATAAGTGGAGGACTACCTGAGGACTAACAGATTAGGACTCTGAGCCCACGGACAATCACAGTCCAACAATGCAGCTATCACTTGGAAGTGAAACTTTGCTATAGGATGGGAACATTGAAATGTGAAGAAGTCAGTTGAAGCAAAACTTCCACTGTTTGTGCACTGGATATGCCTGGCCCACAGGTGTGCTCACACAAACCCTGCTTTGATAAGACAGGCCATTTTTGTCTCCTCAGAGAACAGCATTCCTGCGTTCCAGCTTGCCTATGAAGCAGAATTAGGTAGCAATCCTACATATAGTGAACTGCGAAGGTTGGCTGTCGAGCAAAGGCGAAGACCAATTGTCCCACCAGCTTGGACAAGATTTGGGCAAGTATGTTAAGCCACAACATACGTAGACTTGAATACGGGGCAGTAGGCTTAAGACAATATGTTGGCAGCCACACTCATAAAGAGGGTGGACCAGGAGTTGAGTTTAAGTCAAAAAGAGGGCTGTGAAAATATTTACAGACCCCTCACATCCCGGACATAAACTGTTTCAACTCCTACCCTCAAAATGATGCTATAGACTAGAGCATTGCACACCAGAACAACTAAACACAAGAACAGTTTTTTCCTGAATGCCATCACTCTGCTAAACAAATAATTCCCTCAACACTATCCAACTATTTACTAAGTCTGCATTACTATTACTTCTCATCACTCCTTATCACCCATTCCCTCCCACTTATGACTGTAGGACTGTAACCTTGTTGCTTGTATCCTAATGATTTTTATTGACTGTTTCCTAGTATGATTCGATTGCTTATTGTACCCTATGACTATCATTAAGTGTTGTACTTTATGATCCTTGACTCTTGATTAATGTATCTTTTCTTTTATGTACACCGAGAGCATTTGCACCAAGACAAATTCCTTGTGTATCCGATCACACTTGGCCAATAAAGAAATTCTATTCTGTTCTATTCTATTAAGAAATATAATGGGGTCCCTTAAACCCTGCAAGGCTAAGGGAACACAGCTTGTGCCTTAGCCCCTGCCCCTCTGCCAAAAATGGGGAAAAGGAGAGAACACTGGTTGAAAAGTTGGCTCTGTCAGTTCTGGAGGCTACAGATAGGAGAAGCCTGTGTTTGACTCTTGGACAATATTTTTCCTGCCCTGAGATAGTGGCTCCAATTTGAGGCAGAAGCTGAGGAGAACAAGAATACCACGTGGCTCATGGAGGTTTGGGACTATTAATTGAGAGGTGGAACTAGGCAAGAAGCACAACAAAACCTTGGACCCAGTCTAGATACACTAAAAGGAATGGGGGAAGATTAATCCAGGGTGGGGAACTATGGCTCTTTTATGACATGTGGACTTCAACTCCAGGAATTCCTAAGCCAGCATGAATTCTAGGAGTTGAAGTCCATAGGTCATAAAAGGGCCACCTCTGGATTAATCTAAGAAAAAAAGATAGCCAAAGAGAGTAATGATGCAGGAGCAATTGTTCATGGGGACAAATCCATCCGGTGATTATAAGCAGGAGAAGATGGAACAAGCTCCCTAGAGAACTTTAATGGAGGGAAAAGTTTTGAAGCTAAAGGCAAGAAGGGAGCGCCAGTGCAGAGAACCATGATCTTTTAACAGCAGCAAGGAGAGTAGAAGTTAAATCTGGATCCACTGGTGGAACTCTGGGAATTTTATATTAGCTCATTAAGAATTTTATTCCCTATTTATTAGTGGCAGGAGAAACAAAATTAACTCCCTTGACGTGCTAAAAAAAAAGATTGAAATAGAAGCAGCTTGGAGTAACCAACGGTAGATTTTGCTTTGAAAGGAGGGTTCTTATACACTATATGAAAGCCTGATGTCAGAATAGTGTGGTCTCTTTGCAGCTGGGTGGATGTCAAGATTCTCTTTTTAAGAATTAGCTTTCTCAAGTCCAAAGTCTGCCTACAGTAGTTATGTGCAGAGAAATCATGTTTCCCAACATCTGCATTGGAGATGGGGACTCACCAGAATGACTAGCCGCAAAAAACTCTGTTGACATTCCTTATACAGGAGGCTTATTTGCACCCAATGTCACATCTCCTGCAACAGCTTTTGCTACGTCTTCCAGATGCATTGGATTCCCAGCGCTTCATCAGCACTGGCTGGGAAGGATGCAAACTGCAAACACCTAGAATAAGACACTAGGGAGGAAGTTAAATAGGAGCCAGCAGGACGCTGGCAGCAGCCAAAAAAAGTCAATGCAATCCTAGGCTGCATTAATAGAGAGATAGAATCAAGAGCATGTGGAGTACTAGTACCGCTTTATAAAGCCTTAGTAAAAGCACACTTCTAATATTACATCCAGTTTTGGTCACCACCACAACACAAAAAAGATGTTGAGACTCTGGAAAGAGTGCAAGGAAGAGCAACAAAGACGATTAGAGGGCTGGAGACTAAAACATATGAAGAATGGTTGTGGGAGTTGGGTTTGTCTAGTGAAAAGAAGGGCGAGGGGAGACATGATAGCACTGTTCCAGTATTTGAGGGGCTGCCACAAAGAACAGAGATTCAACCTATTTTCCAAAGCAACTGAAGGCAAGACAAAAAACAATGGATGGAAACTAATCAAGGAGAAAAGCAACCTAGAACTATGGAGAACGTTCCTGAAAGTTGCAACAATTAACCAGTGGAACTGCTTGCCTTCAGAAGTTGTGGGTACTCCATAACTGGAGGCTTTTAAGAGACTGGATAGCTGTTTGTCTGAAATGGTATAAGGCCGTGGTGGCTAACCTTTTGGGGCTCCTCTGCCAAAAACTGTGTGCGCACTTGCATGCTCGCGCTTGCGTGCCAGCACCCAGAAGGCAATGTGTGCCTCCCACGCCCCCTACGCATGCACGTGCAATCCCCACCCACCCCCACCACCTTACCTGCACTGTGCCTCACAGCTGATTTTCAGCTGGTTTGAGGCCTTTTTCGGAGACTTGAGGAAGGCTTCTGCAGGCTTTGCAGGCCAAAAACTAGCCCCGTTTCGTCACTTCCGGTATTTCCGGAAAAACAAAGTGACCAAGCAGGCCTAGTTTTCGGCCTGAAAAGCCTGCAGAAGCCTTCCTCAAGCCTCTGGGAGTCCGAAAAAGGCCTCAAACAGGTGGAAAATCAGCTGTGAGGCCCGGACATGCACAGTGAGGTAAGTTTGCCTGCAGTTCGTGTGCTGGCACATATGGCTCTGCGTGCCATAGGTTCGCCATCACAGGTATAGGGTCCCCTGCTCAAGCAGGGGGTTGCACTAGAAGACCTTCGGTCCCTTCCAGCTCTGTTATTCTAGGTTCTAAGTCTTCCAGTAGGAGTTCCTCTTGTTTTTTCTTGACAATTGCTGTTCTTCTCTCTCCTGTCCCCTAGGTAGCTATTTCCTTGCAAGAGCTCCTAGAAGATTGTTGGGACCCTGAACCAGAGGCTCGTCTGCAAGCTGAGTGTGCCCTGCAAAGGCTGCAAAGGCTGGGCACTGAGGATCTGGTAAAAGAGTACTGAGGTCAAAGCATTTTAGGCTTTCCACTCAGATTTGCTTGGACTTCTTTGCTTAGAAGAACTTTATGTTTGGCTGAGAAGAGCCAGAGGCCTTTAAGAAACGTCCATTCAGGTCCATTTTCTCAACAGGACCCTACCAAGCCATTGTCAGAGTGGATGTGTCTTTATAAGTGCTATCCACTAAACCAACTTGAATTCTATTTGTTAATTACTGTTAACCTGGGGGCCATCCTATACCAAGCCTTTGACTTTGGAATTTTCATTATTTCAGTTCCTACAATATATTTCTGGAACCTTAAGCACCCTTTCTTCAAAATAACTCCCAGTGAACCCAACGGAACATTTCTGAGCAGATATTATACGCACAGTTTATAGCATGTGTTATCTGAACGCAAAAAACAGTTTTAAACAAAGAGTTCAGATTCCTAAGAAACCCTTTTCTCTGCAATTGCTGAAAACTATGGAGGTGCAGCCCTAAAGGACATACAACTGGAAAAGACTGAGGACCCGGATTGTTGGGGGCAATATATCGACTCTGTAAATCGCTTAGAGAAGGTTGTGAAGCACCGCGAAGCAGTATATAAGTCTAAGTGCTGTGACTAGGGCTTCTCTTCCACTGGGAAAAAATGCATTCTTCTGCCTGCATCCAACTCAATACCTCTATGCTTTCTCTTTGCAATAATTTGTTACCAAAAAAATTGTTCAAGATTGTTTGAGATTATATGTCCCAGTAGTTGATGGAGGCTCAATCATGAACTTGATGCATTTTTGGTCTGATGGGCTGTCCAGTCTATACCTGTTTTAAAGGGAGAGAAGGAGGGAAGGGAGTCTTCAAGCAGACCATCCAGAGGGAGGGGAGCAAGTCACCTATCCATTACCACAAGGTGGAGAGACTTCTTATATTTGTATTAGAAATCTTTTTTTCTTAACTTTCATCCAGATTTATAAAGAAGCACATGCAGACATGTATGTGGTTGTTTGGTGACCTTATTGTTCTTTTCTTTTGCCATGTATTCTTTTGTGGTCCCTGCTCTTTTTCATTTAACTTTGTTTTAAAATTAAAAGCTTCAACCAAGGCTGTATTTAGTTTATTTTTATCTCTCCAGAATGTAATGTGAGGTCAGTGTTGAACAAATATATCACTAGTAATCTAGGTTTTACATTGATTTAAAACATGCATATCCCCCTCTGCCATTAAGATGCTCAGAAGCAAATGACAGCACCTTAAACGTACCCATTTTAGCGCAAAATAATAATAATAATAATAATAATAATAATAATAATAATAATAATAAT